AAGCATACTCCAAACCACCACGTGAATGGCATGATTGAGTGATGGTACACATGAAGAAATGTCACCTGGCTATACTTCTTCCTCAGAACAAAGAAGATCTGAAAAAAAGAAAAACTAAAGATTTACTGTGTGATACAATCTGAATCTTGTGCAAGACAATGAGGAAATATGTCAAAGTCAAATGCCTGACTGATCTTTCAACTTACCGTGTCCAACATCTCAATGAACTTTGAGAAATAGTAGAGCCAGCATGTTGCCGCCATCTAGAGGAGACAGCAAATAGTATTTCAGTACAGGTACTAGTCATATCAGACACAACAACATAGGCCTACAGATGTATAAACACCAGCTTACTCTCACACCCTGGGGGGACTCCGAGTAGTCGACTGGGTCACAGCCAAAAGAGTATCCCGTTCCCCATCCTGACATCACATACTGTAGAGAACAATGCAAAGTTTGGTTACTCACAAGCAACTGGTTGTTGATTTTTCTCCATGTTTAGTTCGGATCTAAAAATGCTGCGTCGGTCAGTTATAATTTAAATCCAGTTCATTAACACAAATAAGTAGTTTTCCATAATGAATATGCTGTACAAGATTAGGTCATGCCGCTCTTTGGGCAATGTTTTGAAACCAGTGCATGGGAAGAACACACCCGAAGAACTGGTTTAAACCTCACATCAATACCCATGTTAACAAAAAAAAGAAATGTACATGAAAAGCTTTTCACAAGACTTCTGATGGCATGCGTCACGTATCTGTTCTTAACAAAGGGAACAACACCACAAGTACAGACTACTATGATCCTGTGGTATACAAAGCTGTGTAAAATCTTCCATTCAGAAGAATGAATTCCACAGACATAAATGTCATGCCAACCAAATGATAGCACGACTTGCCTCGTAGCACATGTAAAGCGAGAAAGCCACCACACTGAAGTTGTAGACAATGAGAACTCCTTTCAGGTCGAAGGCCTTACGGTTCTCCATCAACCGTGGCCCCAGCGATGTGACAAAGTAAATGTACGCTGCAATGATGAGCGTTTGGGGCAGAGGAGACGACATGAGGAACCAGGTCTCCGTCCGTCTGTCTGCAACAGGTTGGTGGGATCAACAAGGTTCAGATAGAGAAAAGTTCATCATGTTTACATATAGAGAAACAAAATCACAAGTCAGGGGTGTCCAAACTTCCTTCACTGAGGGCCACATACAGAAAAACATACAAAAGGCTAGGCCACTCACTAGAGTTGAGGTATATTGCCTTATAGTTACAAGTTAGCAAAATCAATCAAATGTAGGTAAATGATGCTTTATAATTGAATATGTATATTCAAGAAGTACAATACAAGCACAGGTTTCTTGTGTGGGCCATATTCCATTATACTTTTTGAATTTGCCGAGGGCCGATTTGAAATGGACCACGGGCCGCACTTGGCCCATGGCCGTAGTTTGGACACCCCTTTCACAAGTGATCACAATGGGTCATACACGTCATACAGCCACCTTGAATGCTTAGGACTCACCTGCATTTTTGATGAACTCTGAATACATGAGTGCGGCTGAGGACTTTATGTCATCAATTTCCATTCTGAGACTTGACCCTTGCAGTTTACCGAGAATCTCCATTTTCAGACAAGATTGTTGCCGTTTACCTGGAAGAGCAAAGTCAAAGTCAACAAGTCAGACATGAGTTCACTCGCATTATGATAAGCCCGGCACAGAAACAATTAGTTAGAAGGGTCCATAACCAGCAAAACGTTATTTGTTTACATAATTGTTAAACTGTTTCAAAAGCCAAATTCACAGATTAACAACACTTTATTTGAGAAAGTTTAACATTAGAAAATAATCCTAATAAAATGTCACAATGCACAACCAGAATTCCTCCACTTTCATTATAAACTCCCACCAGGATGTAGGCCTCTCCCAAACAACTGCTGCAAATGTCAATGAAAAGCGCTCACATTTCCTCCACATGCAACCGCTTTTTCATAATCAGGATGGAATTTTAAACTGTTGCTCAACATCTAAACCATGTTTACCCAAGTAGCTGGTGGCAAAAATAAAATTGCCATTTGTTTTACTTAAAAATCAAACTGCTATGGCTAAAAGACTGGACTGTATAGGAAAAAGCCATTCTTTGCTGCCCCTCTGAGCATCTTAGAAAGACAAAGCCAAGAGTGTACTGGCAGTACAATGAGTAGCAGTCACTGTGCAAAAACAGTAGGACTAATTTATTCAACAAAAATGTACACATGGATAATGTATAAAAAAACAAACAGTGTCCAGTTATAAATCGTGCATTTGTAAAGGTTTGCGTCAACAAAACATAGGCACTCTTGACTGAATACTCAAGTAAAACTTGGGAACATTTTAAGAGTTGGCAGGAAGCAATGGCAAGTGGGAAGATACTATTGCATAAAAAAAACTTTACAATGACAAGAAAGGGTTGAATGATATCACCACTTTAGTACAGATGTTTATAACGGCACACCATGCAACGTGGTAAGCTTTAACTGGACACTTTTCCAAAGGGTGACAATAATCATGAGCTAGGAACAGTTTAAAAGTTACATATTGTGTAAAACGCAACCCATCCGTTTCCAGCGAGGGGAACTGGAAAAGTGCCAGGGTCAACATTTGTTGGCTTGACTGGTTTAAGAACTTGCCTGTAGTTTGGAAAATATGCCAAGGGTATATTCCTTTGTTATGGACATAAAATAAAATCCTCATCAAGTCAATATACAGGTTAGATTTTAAATAAACCCCCATTACCTGTATTCTGCCAAGTGTATAGAGAACAAGGGTGTGTCTAGCTGAATGCAACAGGAACTTGAACTGAGCATGAGTAAGTCATTAGGTGAACGGTAAAAAAAAAAAAGGCATGGCTGTCTGGAGTTTCTTCACTAATGAAGACATGTCTCGACACAGGCTTAATAAACATTATAGTCAGGGATCCTAATGTAAAGGCTACGTGACTTATGCTGTGTACATTAAGTGTCAACTCCCACATATTATAACATGTTTGAATTGTAGTCCTAAAGCATCTCAAAAGTAAATAAAGTTCATTATATAATGTGTGTAAAAGCCGTTATAGTACAGGATCGTCAAAAGATATTACAAATGCAGTTAGTGGGTGCTAAATTATTAACAGAAAGACAATTATTGATAGAATATCCATTATTTAACCCATAAGAAGCCAGACCCATTTCTACTTTTGGGGAAATTAAGGGGAACATAATTCAGACTAAATAGACCACCTAGAACACATTTCTGACAAGAAACCCCCCCTAGTGTCAAATATCTGAAATGTGACAATTTATATATGTCACATTGGGCTTTAAATTGTAAAATAACTCTTATTTTTAACTTAATTAATGAGGATGATTTTTTGGTTTAAATTAGTTTGAACATTCTTTGAATTGAAGAATAAGAACATATTAACTCAATATAATTGAATCAGCTAAATTAACTGAGCAGATCATAATAATATTTCTAATTGTGCATATATGTCACTTTGGGTTTACTGTGAAAGTCCCGATGTGACACCAGTGTCACAGCGATATTTATCTCATTTGTTTCATATCAATTTGATCAATACATGTTAAATGTAATAAAGGAGATGTTATGTAAGCATTTTCAATTTGAATTCTTAAATGGCTTGAATTTTACATTTAGCAACAACAACAAAAAGCTTTTGAAATGTAGCTAGTTCTGTCACATGTGTTAGCATGGACATCTTGGACATGTTGTTATGGGAACACAAAATCAAAAGTCCTGGACCATGACCCACCAGACTGTTCAGTGTGTGTCACTTAGGGACTTCATGAGATAAAATAAAGGCTAAAGCTGTATAAGGAACTTTCCAGAACATTTAAAGTTCATGTGACACCCGTGTCACGGTGGGTCCTTATGGGTTAAAAACAATAAACGCAGTAATTAAGATAAAACCAAAACACCGCCTTGAACATGGTACATTACATTTAAATGTACATTGCAAAGTGTTTTAGAAGCCATTCCAACTGAAGGATGTAATAAAACTATACTCAGTACAATTGTGCTACATTTTTATGAATAAAAAAAAACAATCCAAATGGTCTAGCCAAGATACAATTATAGCTACAGAGATAGCTATAATTGATACATCCCCACGCCTGTAACGATTAACGAAGCACTTTTATACTAATAAAGGACTGGATTACCTAAAGCCAGTTGAGTAGCACTTGAAATGTTTAGCTCTATGAAACCTGATGTACTTATATGATTCTGTTTTCTTCAAGGTTGTGTCTTCCTGGTCGAATGTACTTATTGTAAGTCGCTTTGGATAAAAGCGTCAGCTAAATGCAATGTAATGTAATGTAATAATGTAATGTATCGCTGTAATCACTGATGATGAAGAGCAGATGAGACAACTGATTAAAAACAGGTCCAACGAGTAGGCTACCAGCTGCTCCCAACGCCAGGAAATGTTTCAGTAATCACGGGCACGCTTGTGCTTCGACGCACTGGTTCCATCAAATTTTAAATGGATAATCGTCAGTATTATTTTTGGTTTGTCTCATCACTTAACTCAAATTCAGTTAAGAAAAAGTCACATTACAAACCTTGAATTACCTCTGCCACTCGATGAAAATCCTTGTTGTCGGTTACCACTCTATTGTATCCAAATTCACAACTCAACTGCCCAACAGGTGTGTCTCCTGTTCTGGTCACGCGCAGACAGGGCACGCTCTCCTCCCTTCTTAAGGGCACCTCCGGAGGGCGTGGCCTGTCTCCCAGCTACGGTTCCATGTTGTTCCTGATTGGTCAAGTTTGGGCCCAATACTAGTTCATTCTTGGGTGATGCCTCATCGAAAGTTGTCAAGATGTACAACAGTACAGAAATAATATCCTGTTCAAACTTAGTTAATAACTGGTTTCAGTGCAAAAAAGGGAGGGTTTTTTTCTTCATAAACTCCTAAAAACCACACTCAAATCGCAGAAGTTGATAAAAGAAACAAGGTAACATTCCCAGTGTTTTTATTATAAGACATAATAGTTAAAACTGTACAATTCAAGACACTTCAGGTAATGTAAGATAAAGATAAATTACTGCTTCATGATATTATGCTAGAGACAGAAACAGTATACTGGATATAAAATGTTTTCATATTCAAAATTACTTGATAGATATGCCAAAAGATAACTGTATTAATGACTGTGATGTGTTATTGTTATTTTTTGCGTCAGTATTAAGCCTCATTTGGGTCAAGGTGTCTGAGGCAATAGGTATAACAATGAGGAGGGTGGGACAGAGACAAGGATTCACTCTTACTTTCTCAGCTAGTTTCATTAAACGGCTGTCAGAAGAACTAACAAATAAATGTAAATTTAGCTGGGAATGATAAGACAATGGGTGCTATTTAGTACCTATTAGTTACTCCCATGTGGTCAGTCTCTTTCCAATGTGTTGAAAAAAACACTTAGAAAGACTCACCCCACATGTGTACAATATGTAGTATGTATACATACATGTTACAAAATGTCTCAAACTGGTATAATGTCAGCACCATAACATGTGTGGGGGGGTTTAAACTGACAATAGATACGTATTTTGCTGATCTCGAATCTAGGGATGCTCCGATCGGGTATTTTGGGGCCGATAGCCGAAATCAGTATCGGCCGATGCCGATTGCCGATCCGATCGGGTGGGTGGGGGCTATGGGGATCTTCCATTTAAAGTGATGTTTAAAACTCAGTTAATGGGGCTCATTTTTATATTGCTTCAGTTTATAATTGTAACAGATTGAAAAGTTCAGATTAATTTTTCAATACATGATGCGCTTCCACAAACAACCAAAATAATTATTACATTCAAATTAAGTACATTATTCAAGTTTACATTTGGATAATAACACGGGAGAAATGAGCGGAAGCGCTCTCTTTTCCTCTCTCTCTCCTGATAGCCTGTCAGTATATGCAGCTCACTGATCCAGTAATGAGTGACCCGACAGTAAAGAATAAACATATTTATAACTAGTTTAGCTTGTTCCAGAGGTAGATATAATGGCTAAGTGTGTTAGGTCTAACTCTTAGTGTGTGTGTTGCTCCGCTCACCGGTCCGTCACAGCGGGCGGAGCTGCAGGATTTCTGCTTCACACACGTTGCATACCGCTATTTTATTGTCTTTTTCGGACACCTTCAAATACTGCCAGACCGGTGAAGCCATTTTGGCGAGCTTGTTTTGCCGCGCACAGAGAAAAGTGTCGTGTATTTTACGTCATGTGATCGGCTCTCCTGATTGGCCTTAGAGAGCACCGATCGATCGGCCGAGAGTGAATATCGGCCGATAACGATCGGCGGCCGATCGATTGGAGCATCCCTACTCAAAACCTAACAATAAATATATTTTTATTTGCCGAAAAAAATTGCAGATATTCCCCCAATTACTACTATGAATAATTCAAAATACAAAATTGGCTTGGAACTTGGTGACAGGACTTTGGCAAGATGTAAGACTTGATATGCATGCTAAGGACCGTGTCAGTTTTACATCCAAATTTAAAAAAATCACAACAATGCAATATCGAATGTAGAAAAAAACCATTTGTGCATCTTTATAATAGTATACAATTATTTACACATTCCAATTTACCATCTTTATCTATGCCTGCAATGATGAAACAAGAGATATTTTCCCAAAGTCGTTATTATCTTCACATGTATCCCCACAGGATCATCTTCAAGATGTGCGCACATTGCCATAGTCAGACACTTTGTATGTCCACACGAAGAAAAACAGCATTAGTCTTCATCACTACTCCATGCATCCTGAAAGGCCGGGTTCACTGAGGACTGGTCAGCAGCAGCCTGTAAGGAAGCAACACTGAATGAAGATACTTGTCCCTGAATTAAAAAGTATGCATAGTGTGGCTTGTTTTATAAATGAATCAAGTTCAAATGGAAAATGACAGGTTGTTTTTTGATAGAATGTACTTTGTTTATATCTAAACCAGTATGTTCTGGGTGATTGTCATAATCTAAATTCTTAAAATGATGTACAGTCTATCTACAATAACATTTCTGCTATGAAGACCAAATAACAAAATGAAGACATTGTTTTCAGATTGCCACTACAACATATTGACTCTTGAAATAGAGTTTAACTTTTACGAAGTTAATTTAATCCACAGAGTGTCATGGTCTTGTCTTTCCTATATCAAGTTTCATTTTTATTAGTACCTGATTTGCACTTTTTGACTCTTCTTCCACATCTGGGGCACGAGGGGCAGGAACCCACGCCAGGATGTTACAGTCTTTACCTCCAGTATAGAGCTCCTAAACATAAACAAGAACAAAGACAACTCAGTTCTGACTAATTGAGTCACACACGGTTACAGGGAACAAAAAAAGAGCTGCTGTCACAGCATCACTTTCACCTTGAAGCGCCTCCAGACAATGACATCAGCCTCGAGGGAACAGTCGTGTTAACAAGCATGATAGGGACCAAGAGTAAAATAATTAATACGCTTAAAACTGTCCATGCAACAGGAGTGAACACATGGGACACATTCTGTGTGTCAAAGGGCTGCTCAGTTTCATTACATCTGACAAGAGGTTCCTGTAAGAAGCAAAACATTTAAAAGAAAACCGAAATCTTCTTTATGACAAGCTGCATTCCTATGTTTCACCTGTCAAACCAGCGAGTGTAACCAGATGTTTACGTGGGCAGATAGCATGGCATTGATTGGGCTTTTGTAATGTGTATTTGTAAAGCGCTTTGAGAGTCATTGATAAAGCGCTATAATAAATATAAGGATTATTATTATTATTATTATTTTAATTTACAATGATTATACCTTGCAAAAGTTACCTTACAATTAAAAAGATAATACTGACGAATAAATGTGGGACACTGCCATATTAGGCAGTTTTTATGCTAGACTTGAGTAAGTACAAATACAAAACTGAATAAGCATATATACTTTGTCAGTTTAGCATATGAAAGAATGGTATGACCAAGCTGCAAACACCTGAGATTTGCAGATGTATTGGCAGACTCCTGATTCAAACCAACAGCTTGTATAAAAGTGAATAATGGTTAGAGTCAGATGTTATTGTTACGTCAATCTGTGGCCATTGGCTTATTTGTTGGTCCATTGTAAAATCAGCAACAGAATAAAAAGAATAGGCTCTTAACATTGTTTTCCCCTACTGTTTATTATTAAGCGTATACAAGTATGTATACTGATATTGCAATTGTCAAATATGGGCAAAAAAATAGTAAATAATATCCAATTAACCCAAAAAATAAAAAAAGGTGCATTTTATGCTGCGTTTGGCAAATAAGTGTCATATAGATTTACAGATATTGAGAGCACTTGTACTTTTTATGCAGTACTATTATAAAATGTAGTGTTTTTATTGCATCTAAATGCATTTATCTCAAAATTAGTTTTTTTAATGAATTTCATCACAATTTGTGATTCTTAAATATTGTAATCCTGAATCAGTTGTTGCCTGTGTGTTAGTACATTTGCTCAATAAAAAGTTTACGTTACAGATAATGGTGAAACTAAATGAAAACCTATACTTAAATCTGAAAGAGTAGATAGTAGATTTACTTGAGTGCAGGGGCACCTTGTGACGTATGCAACGGCAACAGTCGACATTCAGGTCGGGAGCACAAAATGGGTTCAAACAAATGAGATGCCATTATTTGCATTCATAGTAGCTCAGTAGGCTATAGCTAAGTAGATGTTAACAGTGTTATCTGTACTGGGGCAAGCGGCTCATTTGGGACTGCATGGTGATTGCACATTTTGAAAAGCTCTTACTGTGATGGCAACACCAAAGAAGTCGAAGAGATTAAAAAAGGGGACGCAAAGAAACGTCAATTCTCGAGGTGTAGAGGGACCAGCTAGACCCGACTAGCTGAACAAACAGAAACAGTTAGATGGAAATACAAACAAGGCAGCACTGCAGAGAGATGGGTTTATTCAGATGCAGAAAACCTCCTTTTAGTTGCTGCTGTTTGCATTGTGCCTGATTCAACAAAAGAGTGAACTACAGGAATGCACTCTCATTTTTGTTTCGCTGTCTTGCGCAGCATAAATGGACTACTGCATTTTAATGGTGCAATTAATACCACTGCATTGACTCTCACCTGGTAGTCTGGGTGAAACTCGCAGCAGTCCACGTTGTTGTAGTGCCCTCTGAGCATGGTGACCAGCTCTCCTGTGTGGAGGGCATACACAGCCACCGAGCTGCCGCATGGCACAAACACAAACTCTGGGCTGCAGCCACGGGAAACTGTGAACTGAAGCCTTTTACGGCTCTCGTTGCAGACCTTCCCGTAATTTACCTGAAGGACACAAAGAAGACACACAGGGTTCAGAACATGTGTGTATGCCAGGATATACATTGTATAAGCTAATCAATGTGGGATGAATATAAAATGTTTTTCTTTTATGAAACAGACAACATACTGACAATTTATTGTATTGGCAATATGATACGCATCATGATGCAGAGGACATGATATTTAAAATATATTGCGATACTGTAACCAAGACGATTTATGGAAACACCTTTTTTACCTGGAAGTATCATTGTATAAACATTATTCATATTGCCATGTGAATAAAATCGGTGTATATACATGTCATTTTTATAAAAAATGGTCACCATGTTTTTCCGAGTTCATACAGTATCACAAAACATATATCAGGATATTTCAGCATATCTATATCATACATCTCTATGTAACAATAATATGTTATGCCTTTCAAGCACTATACCAAAACAACCAGAGCTACATTCAGTGTTTGCCATCAAAACACTTGTTTCCTTGAAGTCTAACAATTGTATTTCCTCAGCAATTTTTTTTAAATAGTATGAATGTATTGTTTACATCCATCTAACTAACTTGCAGTCTTCGTCTTCACTGCCTTCGTTGGCACATTTCTGCATTAACATGGATGTAGATTTGTGGAACAGTGTGACAACCACTCAGAAAAGAAAAAAAGAACAGTACCAGTACAGTAGAGAGGAAACCATAATTTTAAGGCTTCTGAAACTGAAACATAGGGTATGCTGGACCAGATGCTTTCAATTTAGATAACATACTTTCAGACAATATAAGACTTTTCCAGGACTTGGCCCGAAGAATCTACGAAACAAATTATCTAAGGATATACTAACTATGGATGGCATTAATTTGGCCTCCAGTGAGACTGTAAGGAATCTTGGTGTTATATTTGATCAGGATTTATCCTTTAACGCCCACATAAAATCAATTTCAAGGACCGCCTACTTCCATCTACGTAACATTGCAAAGATCAGGCATATCTTGCCTCAAAACGATGCAGAGAAACTAGTCCATACATTTGTTACTTCAAGGCTGGATTATTGTAACTCTTTATTATCAGGGTGTACCAAGAAGTCAGTCAAGTCGCTTCAGCTGATTCAAAATGCTGCAGCTCGTGTACTAACCAGAGTTAGGGAAAGGGACCACATTACTCCTGTTCTGGCTGCCTTACACTGGCTCCCTATAGAACACAGGATAGAATTTAAAATTCTTCTTCTCGCCTACAAAGCCCTTAATGGGCAGGCGCCATCTTACCTTAAAGAACTCATTATACCCTACTGTCCTACTAGGGCATTGCGTTCCAAGAATGCAGGGTTGTTGGTTGTTCCTAGAGTCTCTAAAAGTACAATGGGAGCCAGAGCCTTTTCTTATCAAGCTCCACATTTGTGGCATCAGCTTCCAGTTTGTGTTCGGGCGGCAGACACCCTATCCGTTTTTAAGAGTGCGCTTAAGACCTTCCTTTTTGATAAAGCTTATAGTTAGGGCTGATTAGATTCAGCCCCTAGTTTAGCTGATATAGGCTTAGTTTGTCGGGGGACATCTTACTTCTTCCTTCTCTCTGTCTATACCTGTGTACTCTCATGTTCCGATTAACCCAGCTTCCCCAAATGTCTTTCTTTTTGGTGTCTATATACGCCGGGATCCGGAGTCATGGATGATCCTGCACTCCTCTGTCCTGGATCGCGAGCCCTGGATCTTGAGTCGTGGCTGTGGTACTGGATCATAGGTCCTGGATGGATATCCTCGTGGATTCATCTTCCTATTATACACACATGCATTTCCAAACATTTGGACTACCTATGTTGCAAATGTATTATCTTTTCAATTTACACACGGCATCTATTGCACGTCTGTCCGTCCTGGGAGAGGGATCCCTCCTCTGTTGCTCTCCCTGAGGTTTCTCCCATTTTTCACTTTAAACTGTGGGTTTTCTTCGGAAGTTTTTCCTTGTACGATGTGAGGGTCTAAGGACAGAGGGTGTCGTATTGTCATACTGATATTTTGTACAAACTGTAAAGTCCACTAAGACAAATGTAACATTTGTGATATTGGGCTATATAAATAAACATTGATTGATTGATTGACTTGCAATGACCCTGAAATCAAGACGAACAGGAACAAGCAAGCAAATAAATGCACCTTCATGGTGTAGAATTACAAGGCTTTATTCATGCCGATGAAACAGGTCTGAATTGTGCAATGCATTTCCTTTAACATTTTAGCATTTCAACATTAGCATTACCCCCTAAACGTACACCAGACATCCTCATTGCAACTCTTATCTCTGCCGGGAGAGAAGGTCAAACCCTTCCTTGTGTCTAGTCGTCTAGTGTTACAGCCGAAGATGGAAACATGTCCGCCATGGCAACCTCAGCATGAAGCAGTAGAGCAGAATATTAGAACCGGAGCAATAGCATAACTTTCCTGAGCTTTAAGGTAAGGTCATGTTTGTAGGTTGTGGAGATGGAGCTAATATATTTTCCATTTATGTAGACCCAAGAACACTGTTTCTCTAAGAGTAGCAGTAGCATCCTGTTTACTCAATCTGAGCAAAAAATTACAAACATTCATGCAATTTGTCAACCTCTCTCTGCTAAGGGTTTATGTTGTTTATTTTCTTTTAAACTGGCCAAAATTAAATCATACAAAGAGTCCTTGAGAGCCCGCAAGAGCTGTGTTGTGAACAAGGCTGTCCATTATGGTTAACAGTAGCTACATCATGATGATGATTGTTAACTAAACATGGATTCCAGGTTTACATGCTAATACCAACAGAGAATATCAAACTGTTTTGAAAAGAAAGTTTTGCCATTCATAAGTATCCCCTGTGTCGTTGAAATTTGAATATAATCGTAAAAAAGTGACAATGCAGCATCTATATTTCAAATCAAAACCATGACTTTTTAAGGTCAAAGAGAAAAACGAATTTGCGGCTACTTTTGAGAGTATTCTTCAAAATTAAAAACATTTAAATGTAAGGTAAAATGTTGAGTAATGGATGACAAACAAGTGCATACATCATGTGTAGCACCCTAAACACTGGAACATGTCATGTCCTTTAATCAATCAATGAATATTGATCAATATTCTGGTCAGAGCTAACGTAATGCAGGGGAACAATAAAGGTCCATATTATCTTATCTAAATAGCACATCAGAAACCATGTTATGACAATAACAGAAATACAGTTACATGATGTCTGCTAAATAATGTTAATATTCCTATGTTTCTAAAGAACACCAACCAAGGGAAGGCATGTAGGCGGCACTAAAACAGGACCAACAATTAAGCCATATGGAACTTTTCAGCTGCTGCCTTAGTCAAAACAAAGTTTTAAACTGAGACATAACCTTGATGTTATGCGAGTACATGATGAACAGTTTTTACTATAGTAAAAACAGGTTTCCCCAGGTATGTTATGAGGAGGAAACACACACACACACAACTTACCAGGGTGTTTTCCCCAGTTGCACTATTCCATAGTCGCATACGGTCATCAGTTCCAGTGGTGAGGAGGTAGAGGCCATCGCCAGTGAAGCACAGGCCATTCACTCTGCCATTATGCGCCGTGTTCACTGATAAACACAAATGAAGCATGGCAACATGTATTTGTCATGTCTTTCATCCTCCATCTTTATCAAAAACCAATAGTAGATAATTATTTTATACAATTGATTATCAATAAATGACATGCTTTTAGTGTAATATTTGTTAAACATCTCTTGTCTCCTTATCACACAGAAAGGCTTAGATAAACTGTGCAAATTGGTTTTATGACATTGAATCCTTTGATTAGAAACACATACAGGGCGTCAGGAAGGAAAACACACCCTGTAAGAATGTTGACATCTCATCCAGAGACAGACTTTGTTGTGTTAACCGGACTAACCTGAAAGTTAATAAAATAACAAGCTAGGACTTTAAGCGACTTTGAGACTATGAAAAGCGCCATATAAATTACATTTATTATTATTATTAGATCTGTAAGATTGACTGATTATTTACTATAACCAGTCATTGAATGCATCGTCATCAGTTACCAGAAAATATGAATTCTGTGACTCTACATCAATGTTTGCCCCCACAGTTTGTACTTCATGATGCTTTTTCCATCAGTGCAGCACATTGGGGTTGCTAAAAGGACTTTTTTGACAGTGTTTTGCAAATTGATATTGTTACGACAGGATTATAAATAAACACTGGAAAAGTAAGAAAAGGAGAGAAGTGACAGTACCTGCCTCAGAGGATGCTTTTGATTTGTCTCCATTGTGTTGGTCCAGAGTGAAGAGACTACCAGAAGCCCGACGCACATCCCATACTTTCACTTTGCTGTCTGCACTTAGAAGGATGAGGGAAAATGAGGGAATTATTTTAGTTTTACACTCTCCTGGTTAATTATCCTTAAGTCCTGTTCATTCATTTCAAAAAACGTTTGATCCAGTCCGGTACAGGGATTAATACAGCTTCATGTTCACTAGTGTTTGTTTTTAAAGGTCAGATTTCTGCTGGGAATTAACATTCTGCTCCATAATAGAATAGCATACACTTCTCTGTGCCAGTTGTTTTCAAAATCACTTAAAGTCCGCAGGGAAAGGCAGCACAGTAATCCCAATAGGTTCATTAGCATGTCTAATGTATCATAGCACAGGTGGGGACTGTATCTACCATATGCTGCGCTGAGAGGGCCACAGTGCCTGTCTGCTGGCGATGTGGTGGCATTATACTGGCCTCAGGGTTGCACTGTGGCCAGATGGGCAGAAACTGAGAAGACAGGAACCGTTGGGACACGGAATTGTGGGGATTTTTTCTGCGTCCGACACTTTTCTTTAATCTGAGGGAGAACCAGGTGATGCTGATTCTCTACAGATGGACTGGCAGTTAACAGTGCCTACCTGGCAGTGGCTAAGATGTGATCGTATCGGGGCGACCACCGCACGGACAGGATCTCTGCTCTGTGGCCTGGAGGGAAACAGTTATTGTTTATGCGTGTGAAGAAAAACTATAACAGAAAATGATTAATGTTGTAGGTTAAACAAATTGTTAATAACAGAGCCGGCGAAGGGGGTTACATTCCAAGAAAAGCTGCATAATGTCCATGATTACACTTTTTTGTAATTTTTTTATTTAAAAGAAAAAACTTGGATATTCTCTGAGATTAATAAAGTTATTTACAAGCTCCCCCAGCTCCAATACAAAACATATATTTGGCTCTAATACTCCATGCTTTCATTAATTGCCTCTAGCTCACATACCCTGAAGAACATGAATCCGTGAACCAGACTTCAGGTCACACAGCTGGATTTTAGGGTCTGTGGTGCCAACTGGAAAACAAAGAAACAAAAAGTTGAAGTTAAAGACCCTTAAAATAGGGAATTACAAGGCAGGCGTAAAAGCTGAAAGCTCCTTGCAATAGCGTAGGACAGTAGTTCAAATCTTAAATTCCTTCTTATCATCATTATCAAAGTGTACAGATCCTAGTACATGTGTAAGTATAATTTTCTACAACGTGTATGGGAGAGGCACTTCAAAAGAGTCAAATCGGAAGACCTAGGTTCTAAAAGAACAGGTGTGGTAAACATGAAAAATCCCTGATAACAACACCTGATAAACGTGAGCCAACACACCCATTTATACATCAGAGGGGGGCAAGATATTGAGTAACATTCAAAAGAACAAAGAAGATGATTTGGAGTTCATTCAAATTGAAACAGCCAGCATTAAGAATAATTAATGTAGTGATGCTTAAGAGTAACAGATTCCTTTTGAAAACCAATGTTTGACAAGGATATGTAACACCCCTGAGAGTGGAGGACATCAAGCTAAAAAAGACGACTCTGTGATTGTCCCAGGATTAGAAAAAGGTGTGTCAGAGAAACTGTGTGGGTATGGACATTTATGAGTACACACAATCAGCAGGCACGAGAAACCTGTTTGTCCAGTTGGGCAACGTGGTGAGGTGGCACAAAGATTATTACAATTTTTTCTCCCTGAAATCTTTCACGCTTCTGTCGCCTCAAGGTACATAGCACATTGTAACCTGGGGTAAAACGTGGGTACACAGCGCTGTGTGGAAGCATGCAGTACACTGACCGGAGAAACAAACTGATGACAAAGAACAGTTTGTTATTCCCCATAGAAAGCAGTGGTGGTTGAATCATGACACACACCTGCAATGAGACTGTGCTTCCTGGCAATGGGGGAGAGGTGGTGGCTGTAGACATTGCCCTCAAACTCAAAGACTTCTGCAGGCTTAAGAATAACAAAGGGAAAGAAAGGGAGTACAGTTAGCTGTAGTCAGCTTCCTTTGAGTTAATTGCTAAGTAAACATCCGGAATACTGACTCTCTCTCTCCATTTTCAAATCACGTCTCAAAACATATCTCTACACACTTGCATATCCACCCTGATCACATGTGCTCTGTTTTTATCGATTATATTGTCTTGTTTTTGTGCTGTTTTTTTGTTTGTTTTGTGTACCTTTTACAGCGACCTTGAGAGCCTTGAAAGGCGCCTTTATAAATAAAATGTATTATTATTATTATTATGTGTGCTGAATGATATCTTAATTTAATAATACAAATATACAGCCATGACCCTTAACACAAAGCCATTGCCTTAAAGATGTAACTCTTATATAAATTCCCGACATTGCGGAACAAAAGTTAATGGAAGGACTTAAATAAAAACAGAAGAGTAGAGAAAAGGGATATCATGGCTCAGAAGGCTCACCCGAGCAGCAGCGGCGGTTACAATGCAAATTCTTCAGCAAACATAAAAAGCCTCTCTGTGCCCCGTCTGTCAGTGAGTGCCAGCACCGACCAATGGGCACTCACACAGAGGAGGCTCTGTTTGCATCAAATACCACCAATACACATGGACTTTGTGCACAACAATGCAAAGCACACATTAATGTGCAAATAAACACCACAATAACTAATGTAATAGGCATAAGTGTGTGTGTTTATGTGGAACACAGAGACAGAAACACGTAGAGTTTAACTTAGTAAGCTAAACCAATGAATGGTCGTTGGCTCTTTGCTGTCCCTTCCCTGACCTTTGAGGTAACCGCAGTGCCAGTGTAACTCTAGTGCAGCTCGGGCCTGCCATATGGGACTCTTGCATAGAAAGTAGAAAGCATGAAGCAGAAAATTAGAAAGCGAAGGAAAGGGTGGTGGAGCTATAAGAATACAAATGTCAGCTAGTGGCGTGATAAACCACTTTGAAATGTGCACCAAGTAACCTGTTTAATGTTGACATCCACATAGGTTTATATGTTGATTCAGGTTTATATAACACATGTTTATCACATGTAATAGGGAGTAACCTAGTCTGTGGGTGACAGTCTTACCTTCAGTGTCTCAGTGTCCCAGACCTTCATGGTCTTGTCAAAGGAACTCGAGACAAACATGCCCGTGTCATAAGGATACCACTGGACTGTCTCTACGCTGAATTTGTGGACATACCGACTCGACCTAGATAAAAAATTAAAAACATAACATGTGACCAGATTCATACTTATGTCTTTAGTGATCTTCACCACCCAGTTATGTTTGAAATATCAAATGAACAAATGGAGAATAGTGCACAACCACGTTAGACTTTCATGGAGCAACAGTAAATAAATTATGACATTATTGTTCATGGTGAGACCCACATTGTCAGAAATTAGATTTCAGAGTCATGTATTGAAGTGAACCAAGAATTAGTATGATTTTTCTGTTCACATTACCATTAAAATGCAGTCATAGGAAACAAAAGATTGGGGAAGGCAGTGCTACCCTCTAGAGGACAGAATGAGTAAAGGCAAAAACACTCACCTGCCTACAGTGCAAACTGCCTTGCAGGTGTACTGTAGTTTCCTACTGTAGTTCTCCAGGTCATAGATGACAATCACTCCATCTGCGCCGCCAGACAACATGCTAAACAACATAGAGGGTTTACTTCACAGACTGCATTACTTCCTCCAACACAGCTGCCACATTGCTTTCTAAAGGTAAACCTGCAGTAGTTCTTAATGGAAGATTATCACAGAAAGGTGTTTGGATTAAGATTGTGTAGCTGAAAACTACATATCATATACCTCCATTTTACTGGGGTCTTATGACAAACTATGACAAAAGTGGACTTACTATCTGCCCTCTACTGCTTCAATGTCAATGGTGTTGATGCCGTTTCCATGGATTCTATCAACATCTCTGTCAGGATTCAACTTCAGACTCAGGACCCTTTGGAGATTAAGAAAGGAAGAATAGTCAAGCATTTCTGGAAAACAAATAAAATGTTTAGCATCAAACCTTTGAGGCACAAGTGGATAAAAAGACAGAGCAAAGGAAATACACAATGTTGCAATCTAGAAATTGACAGAGTTGGTGTTAAAAAGTCAAATGGCCTTATGATTTTTTACGTTATTAGTTTTACAAATGATAATTTACATTGCATTATTACATTGTAGATAAATCAATACATACACTGAACAAAAAAATAAACGCAACACTTTTGTTTTTGCTCCCATTTTTCATGAGATGAACTCAAAGATCTGAAACATTTTCTATATACACAAAATAACCATTTCTCTCAAATATTGTTCACAAATCTGAACAAATCTGTGATAGTGAGCACTTCTCCTTTGCCGAGATAATCCATCCCACCTCACAGGTGTGGCATATCAAGATGCTGATTAGACTGCATGATTATTGCACAGGTGTGCCTTAGGCTGGCCACTCTAAGTGGCCACATGATACACTTTTGATGTTTGTTTCATTTCTGCGGTAATGTTACAGAATGTTTCGGAAAATGAAGATTCCAGGACCACTTTAAATGTTTCGTTTACAATCGTTTCCCAATGACCCGGAATAGTACTCCCAGAACGAACGATATCCAGAATGTCTTCCAGTTTACAAACTTCAGCCATTCTTTTTACACAGGGGTCACTACTCGTTCTGTTTTCAATCGTCCTCATCACCACACTTATTAAAAGGGTATTGACTACATTATGATCAATATATACAGAGCGTTTTGCATAGTAGTTTCCCATTTTTATTTTACTTAAAGAAAAAAGTCACTGTATCGAACAAGTCCCTGGCTTCAGTCAACTGCTGGTTGTTAGTCTTCTTCTTCTTCTTCTCCATCCAACTCGGCATGGATCTTTTCAAGTCTCTCCTTGAGGCGTCTGCAATTTTTGAGATTGTGAAGAAAAGCCTCCGAAGCGCCTTGGATCCTCTAATCATCCGTGAAAATGTCTTTATCAAAAAGAGTCTGGTCGATCTCAGTAATGAAGTCGGTGAGCCAGAGTCTTTTCATTAACGCGTTGTAATTGTTTCTGAAGAAAAAAATCGGGCATGTCATTCAGAAAATCGTGTTGCCTCTGGCCGGGGTGACTGACTCGGCACTCGTTGCATATTTCTTCTCTGTACCGATGTATCACCCTCTCCAAAATATCAACCAACACCGATTTCACTGTGTCCATAAACAGAGACGTCTTGGCCCAAGGAGCGAAATCAGCAGCAGTAGTATTGCAAGATTCGGGTGTCCAAAATGGTAGTGATGATGGTGGTAGTCCAGGAGTCTGTTCCTGGCTACAACTCGCGGGGGGGAGTCTTGGTTTTTCTCAGATCCGTGGCTAGTTTACAACGGTCGTCTTAGTGGGGTCCTTCGTTTTAGATGATTTGCTGAGTGGAGGGTGGGGCTTATTGCGTTGAATTGAGAATTATAGAATTGAGAGTTTAAAAAAAAAAAAGTTCTTTAAGCGTTGTAGCTTTTTCATCTCATCTCCAACCAAGCAGCAATAGGTCAACATTTAAGAATAAGTAATAGTTTGTCAAGATTTTACGGAAAAAGTCAAAAAAGTATAGTTTGTCAGAAATATGGAAAAGTCATGAAAATCAAAAGAAAGAAAACTCAATTCATTACAAATTAATGAATATTTGACCCTGTTCTAAAGTTTTGCACCCCTTAAAGAAAAACCCATTCTTTACCAAGTACTTCATATTATACCCTTTTGTTAAGTGTTGCATACATCAAGGTGTATCTTAAAGTATCTTGGTAGCAGAAAATAACTAAAATATGTAAGGTTATCAGAAAAGAAAAAACCTTGTTTAACTGAACAAGTGTTGCATACGCCAAAGTGTGTCTAAAAGTATCTTAGTAACACAAGAAAAGAGAACAAAGCATTGATGTTAACAACAACTGGATTGTTCCACTGAAATAATAAATAAATAATTTCAAAAAGTGTGTTTTAAAAAAAAAATATATATTCAGATAAAGTATTTTGTTAGACTATTAAGTCCAAGATGGTTACATTTACCCCCTAAACCATTTGTATTATATTTTTGTTTTCCTAATAAAGACAGAGTCACCTGAATTAATTTAGTCTCCAGACCTTTGTATTTTTATTTTTTACATTTTGTAACAATCTTAAAACATTTGTAGAGAACAAACACTGTGGTTAAAATGATTGTCTTTATGACGTCTCTCACACAGTTGGTATTTTTCACAAAATTCTTTTTTAAACACATCATCTTGATACAGAGATAACACATTTTCGTAAGACAACCCCGACGCTCTTTTTACATAGGTAGAAAACACAATGCTTTTCTTTGAGGGGTCCTTAGTTTTAAATGATCTGGTGAGGAGGGTGTGACTTGTTATGTTGATTGGGAGGCGAAGTCCTCTACAAAATAATAATAATAAATAATTCCTTACATTTATTATAGCGCTTTTTCAATGACTCAAATCGCTTTACATATACACACATTACACATATATCATACATGCAATGGTCAGATACTGTGGACAATACCCACAGGAGCAAGTTCAGGTGAAGTGTCTTGCCCAAGGACACACCGGCTTTACAGACGCAGCAGCGGCGGGTTTCACCCCTTGATCTGATGATCATTGCACAGTGCACTGCGCCACACCGTCCATCTTCACGCCTCGAGGTCATCGAGGCGCTTTTACAAGTACACATTGGTATTATACATGTACTGTGGACACTACCCACAGGAGCAAATCCGGGTGAAGTGTCTTGCCCAAGGACACAACGGCCTGACGCAGTGGCGGCAGGAGCGGGTTTCGAACTGGAGTTCCCCAGCACTCCCCCTTTATCTGATGATCGGATGCACAGACCACTGAGCCACCCGTCCAAAAAGTGAGAGTCTTTTTCACCAGTATAATGTCGATCGATGTCTGACTCTGTTTAAAAAGTTCTTTAAGCTTTGTAGCTTTTCCATCAATCATTTTCAGCCAAGCAGTCAGAGGCACCCGCAAGGATGTCTGAAAAACCCCGCATGTAGAGTTGAAATACTCCAAAACAAAATCATCAGAGGGGTCCTTCCCCAGCGTCACCATACGGCTTGCGCAGTAATACCATCGCCCCGATGGTCCGCTTTTAGTTTCCCAGACGGTGCTTGTCAGGACTCTTCTCACTTCTGGCGGCGGGGAAATATCTCCTTCTTCTTCCTCCACCTTGAGAGGCAGCGGTGAAAACTCTTCTTTGATCTCGCATGCTGTCTGCGTTTCTTTGCTTTTCTTTGCAAATATCTTGTACACCGCTGGTTCCACGCCTGTTTCTTGATGCACTACTTCTTCCTATACAGTGGTTGCGTGGAGATCTCTGGAGGACACCAGAGTTAACACAGCCCAATCTGTTGAGGTCAGTGTCGCTTTAACACTACGGGGTCCATACGTTTCTCCATTCTTCAGATTGTAGAAATGCAGTTCATTCGCCATATAGTTGATTACATAACCCCAAACATCGCCATTTTTCAGAGTCCATTCTTCATGAAGTTCTTCGGCTGGAGGCGTCTGAACCCGGCCCAGATACTGCATTCGTTTCTTGATTGGCGCTCCGGACGGATGGCGGTAAGTTGTCACAGGCGTCTTACTGATTAAACCCATATCGAGGCGTCTCTTGGCCATTTTTCTTTTTTGAAAGGTGACTTGATGAGTGGAAATGACTGGCTTGTTATTTAGTTTGAGCATATTTATTTTTTCATCTATTTCCATCCCCTTACTTTTAAATGATCTGGTGAGGAGGGCGGGACTTGTTATGATGAGGGGGAGGCGGAGTCATGCTGAGTGGGATGATGACGATGAGGAGGAAGAGGAAGAGCTAGGATTGGGAGGATTAAGACGCATTTCTAAGATTCCTAGTTCAAGAGATTTAAGAATGATTGACAGCATACCCTTTGACAGATCACCCATTAAAAGAAAGAAAAAGACCCCTCCCAAAGTCCCAATAAGGACGAGTTCGATTCCTTCGGACTAAAGATTTAGATTGAGCGTATTTCCTCACAGAGCCCCTCCTCCAACACACATGAAACACGCGCACATGACCAAAAGAGGGCACGAGATAAGTTTGTACACAGATCTTCGGCTGTATGCGTCTGAACCCCGCACTGATGCTGCATTCGTTTCTTGACTGGCGCTCCGGACGTATGGCGGTAAGTTGTCACAGGCTGATTAAACCCAATTCGAGGCATCTCTTGGCCATTTTTCTTTTTTGAAAGGTGACTTGGTAAGTGGAAATGACTGTCTTTTTATTTAGTTTGAGCATATTTCTATCTTCATCTAATTCCACCCCCACTAACTGCTGGTGTCATAGCCAAAAGGAAGGGGTGGAGAAAAGGGGGAGAGGCCGGGGCTGGGAGGGGGCGGGTAGACAGTCTCACGCATAACTTCAAAGAGACACCTAGATTAACATCAAAGGCTTATAACACACCAGTGTGAAGTCACACCTGCCTGTTATAACACCTCACATCAAAGGGCAAACATCAAAGGCTAATTAGATTATACAACTCTGAGGGGACAGGGGCCAGACAGCATAACTTCAAAGAGAATGCCTTAATCAACACATCAAAGAATTAGACAACAAAGGCACTACACCAGGGGGATTTTCACACCTACCTGTTATAACACACATCAAAGGACTAGACTACAAAGGGGTGTGAGGGGACAGGGGCCAGACAACATAACTTCAAAGAGACTGCCTTAATCAACACATCAAAGAATTAAACAACAAAGGCACTACACAGGGGGCTTTTCACACCTACCTGATAACACACATCAAAGGATCTCGAACAATGGGAGGCGGGAATTAGGGGCGTGTCCACCTGTCACTTTGTATGCATACTAATGTGACGAAAGGGGTATCAGTATAACTACTGAGGCCCATCTAATAGTACCGCAGGTCACCCTTGAAAAAGAGATCTTTTGATCTCAAGGGGCTTTCACCTGGTTAAATAAAGGCTACAAACAAATAGCCCAGTCCTGCAGGCATTATGCCCAGCCTTACACGGCGGCAATATGGACAGCCACACCAGCTCGTACAGAAACAGATGCAACAATACCAAAAGATGTGCAGTGCTGCTGTTGTTATCCAGGCAGCGTACAGGGGCAATCAAGTCAGAAAGGAGGTGGCTCGTTGGCATCATGCTGCCACTGTGATCCAGTCTGCATTCAGAAAGCACAGAGAGGAAGTCAAATTCCAGGTCATGCGTGTGTCTGCCATTATCATCCAGAGATACTATCGCTGCCAGTTAATGGACCAGCACCAGAAGCGTTCCCATACACACAGGCGTTGGAGCTGTTCTTCATGAAATCCCAGAAGGATGAAGTGACAAACAGTGCCATCTTTGCGCAAAATGATTATACAGGAATGAAAAGTCAATAAATAAACATGTTGTTAAAACTTTTTTTTTCTCCGCGCTATATACTGTCAAGGTAGGGTGGCGCAGTGGAAAACGGTGGGGAGTCATCTTTAAAAGGTCTCACCATTCGCTGTGTCCACCTAGATCTACTTAATAGCATCGATGCAGATGCTTTCCTCTTGGCCTTGAGGCGATTCACCGCTCGGCGAGGCACCCCCTTCGAGATTCTCTCAGATCAGGGGACAAACTTCCGGGGAGCAGCTAGGGAGCTTGAGGAGGCGTTTGCTGGAATGATGCCCCAACTGCATGAGGAACTTGTCAAGAAACCGATCAAGTTTCGCTTTAACCCTGCAGCATCTGCCCACTTTGGCGGTGCCTGGGAGCGCGAGATACAATCGGTCAAGAAGGCTCTACAAGTGGTGATTGGCACTCAGTATCTCCAGGGAGAAGTCCTCCTCACCTTGTTTGTTGAGGTGGAAGGTAAGTAAGGATCGCGGCCACTCTAGTCAATGGGTGCTATTCCACCACACGCGCCGTGTTACGGCTCAGACGCGTCCCAGAAGCGTTTCAGAAGCGTAGCGTCGTGCGTGCAGGCTCGCAGTTTTGTTATTGATTCGGGCATCCTGGACATTTGTACTTCTACAAGAAAGTAAGTAGGCTACGTAGTTAAATGTTTTATTTTTGTGTCTGTTTAAATTGTGTTTATTGTTGTTATAAATGTCCTATTTTGTTATGTTGTAGTCTACAGACACACTTCATAATAATTGTAAATTTGTAATAGTCCACTTCCATGATGAAAACTTCTACAAGAAAGTAAGTAGGCTACGCAGACGGACCCGGTGGAAACTGGGGGTAAGGGTTTGGCATTTAAGATACCTTCCACCTCAACTAACAAGGTGAGGAGGACTTCTCCCTGGAGAGACTGAGTGCCGATCACCACTTGCGTCCGGTGGGCGCAGCCGTGACGCGGCGCAGCGCGGCGCAGACGGACCCAGTGGAAACTGGGGGTTAGGCTATGTGTCATCAGACCTCGCAGATCCTGTGACGCCAAGCATGTTGCTGATGGGGCAGAGGGATGCTTCCCTTCAACAAGTATCATACGCTACAGACACCCTCAGCAAGAGGCGGTTGCGTCATTGTCAAATGATGGTTGACCACTTCTGGGTGCAGTTCATCAGAAGCTACTTGCCATCCCTTCAAGTCCGCCAGAAGTGGCGGCAGCACACTGATGATCTTCTCCAAGGTACTGTCGTGATGATAGTTGATCCTCAGCTTCCACGTGCCCACTGGCCAGTGGGGAAGGTCGTCAAGCTGAATGCCAGTGCTGATGGATGCATCCGGTCGGCTGAGGTTCAAGTCAGGGACAAGACGTACCTGCGACCTGTGGCACGCCTTGTGCAGCTACCAGCTCTACCGGACGATCCAGGGATCCAGGGACTTCCGCTGCACCTTAGGGAATTTATTCTGTTTTACATAATAGCTATGCTATTCTGGGGGCGGCTGTTGTAAATTCCCCTTGTTTCCCTTGATCTGCGTTATATCGTTCGTGTTTTAGTCAGGCACATTTAGGGACAGCTAAAGTAGCGCAGCTGCGGGTCCTAGAGCTGTTTACACCATGGATGTATAATAAGAACTGGATACAGCGTGGGAGGCGGGGCCTCATTAATTCCTATGAGAGCTGCTCATTAGCAGATTACCCGGCATTGCGCTCATAGCGCATGCGTAACTTTAACCAAAATGCTCGTTCACATCAAGCATGTCAATTTGCGTACACGTAACAGCACCGCACGTTCATGACAGCATGGTAATGATTTGTTATTATGATGGATTTGCTATTAACGAGGCGGCAGTTAGCAGCTAGCGACTAGCTAGTCATTATGCTAATGTCCACATCAACCGTTATGTACTTATATTACGCTGTAACAGGATCTAGTGATATCCAAGCAACAGAGCTTCATTTAGCATGAAATAATTATTGCACTGTATGTATATATACACAGTGTAATACGAAGCTACAGGGACGTTAATAACGTCGGTAATATTAACTTTATTTAATACAACATTTACGGTACAAGATGTAATCATACAGCCCATGTAGTATGATAATGAATTACAGCAAACATGTGCAATATATCCATTATTACAGCTCCGTGGGATGGCAGTAACGATATGGGTCCGTTCTTATTGTGCATCCATGGGTAAAGATAAACGCAACTCACATTGGTTTTTCAAACAGCATCTCTGTAAACTACGTGTATTCACTGAATTTCACTCTCTGCCTTTAACGGCTCGTTGTAGCTCCAATAGCTCCAGCCCCACCCTTCCTGTGAGCACAGTGTGCTCTGATTGGTCGGGACACGTAACATGAACGTGCCGGGCGGCGCGGTCCCGTGGGTTAGATGCGCGTTCATAATGCAGAGGGAAATAACTCTCAGAATAACGTTATTAGCACATTATTACAACTTGAGGAACGAATGTTTTTAATAAGGGCTATACAAGTGATCATACTGGGTAGTTTATTTAGTTTAAAAAAAATTATCCAACGATTTACAGACCACTCTTTCCCCATGTTAGTCAATGGGAAAAAGTGTTTCCGGGCCTGGCAACCAAACGGAAGTGTAGTACCGCCGTTTGGCCAGCACGAATATTTTCATCTGAGTCCGGCGCACTTCCTGGGGGCTTGGTTTACACATGTGCGTTCATGACAGGACATTATTGCGGTCGCATCGTCACATGCATAATTACCATCGTCACAGAGAGAATGCGTTCGTGAAGAATGTGAGCATATATGCAGATCTTTAGTGTTGGTAATGTTATAAGATTGTATGCATAGTGTCCTGCTGAGTCAGTGTGTTAATGAGTCTATTGATGTCCCGTTTTTAGCTGCTATGTTGTTCAGAAATGGAGCTAATGCTAGCTAGTTAGCTAAGTTAAGCTATTCAGTGATAGTGTGTGGATGAGATACTAGCTTAGCCTTTATTAGCCATGTGTGTGTTTGCAACGTGTCTAATGTGTTTAGCAACAATTAGTATCGCTGTTGCTTATTATTAATAACCAGAGTCTGGTTAGTTATTGTAATGTGAACCTTATTTCTATTTCTGTGTATTTTGCAGAAACCATTCATTCATCTCTACTCTACATTCATTCAATCTCTACTCTACATTCATTCATTTCTACTCTACATTCATTCACTACTGCTACAGCTGTTGTAAGAACCAAGCTAATATAAAGTCCAACGACTGTATCTCTGTGTCAACTCTCTAACCGGAGTGCTGTTTTGGATGAAGCGGTTCCAGCACAAACACCACAACAAATAAGATTCCCCAATAAATACCATTACCATTGTATTTAAACTCTTTGTCTTGTTTTTTATAACAGGTTTATATTATTGAATTTTACAAATTTTTACATTTCATTGTTATGGCTTTTAATTCAGGCAAAGGTTACTAGTCTAATGTGCCATGATTTATTGCATTGTGATCGAACTCTGTTTTCTTTTTGTAACTCGTTTTTATTTATGTTAATATCGTTGTTGTGTTTTTTCTGCCTGTCCTGGATGAAAGGTGCCACACAGAATACAAATAAAATAAAGTTATTATTAGACTAATCACTAAGACAATCAAAAGAAAATGAACTGTTGACAAGTTTTGATATTTGGATAATCACAGTTAGTTTTTGAGTCATTTACAAACATTAGCTAGTAAAATCTTTTCAATGCAAACAGCAAAATACAATACATCATAAAATGAGACTTTACAATCACATATGTTGAGATTATAGGTTTATGAGCTATCTGAGTATGCATATAAATTAATGTGCCCCTTAAAGATCAGTATTTATTTTCCTTTCTGGTTCAAAATAAGAACACCTTTATTCGTCATTTACAAATAAAGTTATTAAAATGTATAATTGTTACAGCAAAAGTAAACAGCGAAAAATATAAATTACAAAAATACTCATCCAGGTGGACTACAAAAATGACCAATAACAATATATTATTTTAAATAAGTGTTGGATGTATGAAGCAGTTTGATAGTAGCCAAGTTACAGTAGTGAAATAGGAAGTATATATATTGTTTATTTACAAATGTATTACAGTAGTTGCATTGTTTAAAAAAGATAAAACAGCTAGTAATAATATTTATAAAGCGGTATTTGTATTAAATTATATATTACACAACAGAGGTGTTCTAGTCTTTGTTGCTGTATGTGTGCAGGGGTCAGGGGACATTGTTTTCTCTCACCTCCGCGTTGACTCTGCACGCCTCAGTCGCAGAGGATCATCCACACCAGCCTGCCTGGCTGTAAGAAACCCCAACATTGCTATAATTTGAAGATGAAACTATATTAATAAAAGGACTAGTCTCCAACCTATCCTACCGTTAGCCAACCTAGCTCAAAGGCTAGCATGTTGACTACATTGAATTAAGTTTTCAATCGTAACTGAAAAGAAGCGCAAACAACAAGTCATGTTGTTGCACATAGAGCCTCTTAATAACTAAATACGTCGAAAGGCCACTTTGCTTCGATAATGTCTTGTTTATTTAACATAACATTTCTCTAACTTCCCAGCTGCTCAACACAATGAACCGCCATGTTGGAACGTAATGACAACATTCAATGACAAATGCGATGATTGGCTGTTCAATAATAAGCGTCCAATCACAAAACGGCTTATTCATTCTATTCCCAACATATGAAGTATTGCATAAACAACCCAGTGAGAGGACACACATCTAACAAGGGACACGAAATACTCAAAAACCTTCAAGTTTTCCTGTAAATATGAACAGGGTCGCTGGAGTTTTACGGCGTACGTTTGGAATAGTACGCGAGCACGTCGGGACAGACCATTTGGGAAATACATATTACCATATCCCAGAACAGAAGACATGGACAGGTAAACATGACCTCTAAATCAAGCTTTGTTGTGCTTACTTTAGCCAGTAATGAATGTATTTACAGTATTGATCCCTACAGATATGCATGCTTTTTTAAAGCCTCGTCTAAACTTCAGTAAGCTTCTTCTGTACCTGGCCCTGTTTGTTTACTCCATAACTAATTTAGCCTTTCTTAGCCTGATTGTTTTGATATCTAGTTAAGAATACTGCATATTACATATTGATATTCCAGCAATGTATCTATTTGTATGTAATGTATTGCGCATGTATGACTTTCTTTCTTCCCTTTGACCCTTGTAGTGTAAAAAGCTTGCCAGTAGATGGAGCAAATACCTCACCCAGAACATCTCATTGTATAAAATAGATTTAGTCTGTATTAAAATTGAGCAAGATTAACATTTAACTCATTTTGGGGCCACAATAACTGCAGCTCCACTGTCATGGGCCCTCAAAGCAGAAAGGGTCCTCCTCATTCCCTTTTCAGTGTATTTTTTTATTTATTTGACAAATATGACCCCAAGTGACCCTTATTGCTTCTATCAATAATATATTCTCTCAAATCTTTAAATAATAGGAGCGGTAATTCCGCCGCCAAAAACATGGCAGTTCCACTGTCACTGGCCTTAAAAGCAGAAAGCATGTCCTCCACTGTTCCAGGGGAAATGATTTCTTGTCTGTTATGAGGTTTCAGAAGGAGGTCATATATCCCTACTGAGACATGGCAGTGCTAGTTTGTCATGCTCAAGCCAAGCAGTAGAACTGTGTCATCATCAGGCTAATCCATGGTGGAATGCCAATGATGTCCTTCACACCTTCTTGAAGGCCAAGGACACAGTTGTAGGCCTAGTGGACTCAATGTCTGGCTTTACCGTGAGTCATTCCTCAGTTGTCCTAACTTTAGGAGATGGAGAGAGATAGGCAATTGTTATGACTCAACTTAGCAATAGTAAAGAAGGTTAGATGGCATCAGGGGCATTTTTTTAATTTGAGAAGCCCAGCACATCACCCTTGTGTTTTGCAAGATATTTACATGGAGGAGATGCCATCATAGCTGAGTGTCATTTTAAAATGAGACAATGAGAGTTTTACAACAAAAACACTCAGAACATTGACATTATCTATGTGTCAATGTCAGATCCACACCTGCAGAGGAACTTGTTATGGATGAAATATAGTGATGCACTATATCTGAATTGAGAATGCCTATTCTAGTTGAACTCATTAGCAGAATCACAGCTAATCCCACTTTCCCCTTCCCCTTGTGGTCCCTATAGGGCATTGGTCAAAGGTCAAAGGGCCAACCTTCCAGACATTATACTGTTGGTTAACCAGCCATGGACCTTTGACTTATTAGCAAAGTGATATTATGCATCGTGATATTCATTAGGAATCTTATGCCTGAGAATGAGTTCAGTTCCATTGCAGACACTGTCTTTTTTCTAATATGGGATACACACTACACAGCAGTAATCCCTCCAATCCATGTGTTTGTCTCCCTCTCTTGGTGCCACAGTATACAACTTCAATAACGCATGAGCTGAATAGGTATGTTCCAGTGCAAACATTCAGTGATGCTTTTTCAGAGAGTGAAGCCAAGAGTTTGTTTTTTCAGTTTTGGACCGACCGTTGGCAGGTCCCAGGCCTGCTATCTTTCTGACTGAACTTGACTTTGTGGTTCACCTTTTCTCAGCAGTTTGCAGGAAAACGTGTGCCCACCTCATATTTATAATTCATTACAAGGCTGCTCCTCAACCCCTGGCTGTCAGACTATTTCAATGAGACATCACACAAGACCATTTTCCAGCACGCTACAGGCTACCATAATCACTGCCCAATCACAATGACTGACACTGTGGAGTGGCTGGATGGCCTGTGGAAAAACTGGTTTCTGAACAAACGCACTCAGAAATGCAAGGCAGGTGCATACACATATACCCTCATATACGTTTATAATACACACATAAAAAGATATGGCACACACATTTTCCTCTTTATTTCTACCACTCACCCAGTCCAGCCTTGTGGAAATAAAGCAGATGCATTATTCAGTCCATATGTCTTGCTAAAGCGGGTTCTTTTTGATCTTAAACTGATAGGCCAAGCGTGGGATCAGGGCCTTAAGGCATGGACCGCAGGGCTTTCCACTGCAGCACATAGTGGTTAAAGTAGGTGAGGAGACTCTCTCTCTCTATCTCTCTTTCCCTCTCAACTCTGCCTAATTCTTCTATTCATTTGTCCATCCCTAGTATGCAGGCAATCCCTCTCTACCTTTATCTATGCTTTGCTGCTCCCATTTTCTACCTCTCTCAATCTGTTAACTTTAGAAAACTGGGGCGTAAGCAATTTCTTGTGTGTGGTAGGCTATATATGAGGGTTTTAATGGCTGCTAAGACAGAAAAATAAAAGGAAGCCGCTGCTTTTTTACGTGACTGTGTCCTATCTAATCTCAACAACTGCCCATTCTTCTCCTTCGGGTGACCTCTTTATTTGCCTCTAGTTAGTCTTTCCTTCCGTTGCCCCTCCCTACCATTGCTGCCTCTCGATTTTCCTCCTTTGAAGACATTCTAGTGAAGATTTCTATTCACAACATTGGAGTAGTTCAGCAGTGTGGAGGGTTATACCCAGCAGAGTGCTTCATATCCCCCTCTCCTCAGATGCTGCTGCACATCAAAATGAAAAGGCCTGAGTCTGAAGTACACGCCTAGAGAGGGGGAATGTCTGTCCGTGTCTTTAGAAATGGTCCAGCTAAGAGGCCTACTGTGTGCTTCTTCCCCACAGAGAGAACTATGCTATAGGCCAGGGATATTCAACTAAACTTCAACGAGGTCCAGTTAGAGAAAATGTCCCCATGCAAAGGTCCGGAACATCAAAATGTCTAAGTTGCTTTATGAATTAGTGTGATATATATTGAAGTAGCCTGTAGCTTTATCAACGTCTGCATGTAATCAACAACTGACTGCCAATCAAATAAAGAAAGTACAATTCATAAACAACAATATGTATTGTCAATTAACATTGAACTATACAGATATACAGTAAATACTGTGGATATGTGTAATGTTCCTCTCGGGCTGCATTTAAAAATAAATAGAGAAAATACATAAAATAGATTTTGAAAATATGTGCATCTTAAAAGTGCTTAATTTTAGATAAATAAAATAAAATGTGGCAGCAGCTTGAGTTTCCCTTTTTCTTTGTTAACCGTTTCACATCATGACTTAACTGTTTCAGACGGTTATAGAACAATATCAGTCTTTACACATCATAACAATTGAACAGTTTTAAAGTTTCTCTTTCTTTCCCTCTTATATTGCAGTCCCTCACTCACTTTTTTTTAATTCAGTGCGAGAATTGAGTTTGAGTTTGTCCAGCCAGGAGTTTCAATGTGGGCTGAAACTGTGTCAGGGCCATTCTCATACACAAATGCAGGTGCTCATTGGTTAGCCTCGGTTAGCCTGCCAGTGCCCTGGAACGATATTTAGTTTTATTGGGCTCTGAGACTGCTTATTTGTTGTGAACTCAGTTCTGACTTGAGAGGGAATGTTTGGTCAAACACTTTGAATGAGCGCCACGGTCTCTGAACAAATGAGACACTGTAGTGCAGATGAAAGGGAGTCGGAGGCGGTGTGTTGAGAAAAGAGTTCCACTCTTTATTATCGGATAACATGAAGAAGGTAAATACACGTCTGCTCAGTATGACAAGCTAGGCAGGAATGACAAGCTAAAGCTAAGTGTTCCCACTAAAGGGTCCGTGTGGCAACACAATACAAAAGGTGAATTATGGTCAAACATAGTGTCACCACACAAGCCCCCCAGAATTAACGTGTAAACAAAATCCGTATGGAGGGGAGGAACAACCCGCCTGCCCCCACGAGACCTGCGCACCGGAGTCGGTACAGCGACTTCCGCCTGTGCGGCCCCCGTCAGAGGAGAGACCGGAACAACAGGTCCACATTCCCTGAAAGGAATCAAAGCCGGGGGGCGGCCCCCGTCTCGGTGGCCGAGCCAGCACCACCGGCTGGTCCAGGTCCAAGTGAGCAGCCTTCACCCGGTCAACTGAGACGTGCTCAGCCTTACCGCCCATGTCGACCACCAGGTGTTTGTCACCGTGTTCCAAAACCCGGAAAGGTCCATCGTAAGGGGGCTGCAGGGGGCCTCTGTGTGTGTCGTGACGGATGAAAACGTGCCCAGCCGAGCGTAGCTCCGCAGGAACTTGAGACCTTGGCGCACCGTGCTGAGTAGTCGGAACTGGAGCGAAAGCCTCCGCTGCGTCTCGCAGGAAAACCCGCTGGGCCGTGGCAGACCAGGGAGCTGATGCATTTGGGAGGAATTCCCCCGGAACTCTCAGCGGCTCACCGTAGACCATCTCCGCTGTAGAGCAATGCAGATCTTCCTTAGGTGCGGTCCTCAGGCCCAGCATCACCCAGGGCAGCTTGTTGACCCAGTTACCGTCCGTAAGGCCGGCCTTGAGGGCCGCCTTCATGGAGCGATGGAAGCGCTCGCAGAGGCCGTTAGCCTGAGGGTGGTAAGCGGTAGTCCTGTGCAGCTTAACCCCCAAACCGCCTGCCACGGCGTACCAGAGTTCGGACGTGAACTGAGAGCCCATGTCTGAGGAAATGTCCGACGGGGTGCCAAAACGACACACCCACGTTGCAATGAAGGCCCGGGCAACGTCTGCGGCCGACGTCGAAACGAGCGGGACCGCCTCCGGCCAACGGGTCGTTCTGTCCACCATGGTGAGGAGGTAGGAAAACCCCTGAGAGGAAGGCAATGGACCAACCAGGTCAATGTTGACGTGATCAAACCTCCTCTCAGGCACCAGGAAACGCTCCAACGGGGCCTTCGTGTGGCGGTGCACCTTCGCGCGTTGACAAGCCACACACTCCCTGGCTCAAGTCCTCACGTCCTTTTTCAGCCCTTGCCAAACGAACTTCGTCGCCACCAAGTGTACCGAAGGCTTAACGCCGGGGTGTGACAGGCCGTGCACAGCCTCGAACAC